TGGCAGCGATAGCGCGAGGTGTCACTCAGCAAAGAAGGATGTGGGAAAACCAGATGTATTTTGAGTATAGTGCCGGATCCCAGTGTTTTGGTAGCAGAACACTGTGTTTTATTTTCTTCAGCCAATAGGTATTGACATTTTAAATTCCTCCTGAGGCAAAGAAATCTTTTTCTGCTAAATAGTTAAATAAGCTGAATAAAAATAGAATGTAAACTTTGTTTGGAGCAGCATCTGAGTCCAAAGGCACCACAGCAATTGTTTGGAATATACCATGTTTCATACAAGTATCGACAGAAAGTGTGTATTAAATCATTAAGTATGGGTTCCCTTCTTCTTTGCATAGATGAATAATTTTGCATTTATAAAAGGGATAGGGTTGCTGGTTTGTTTGGGTTTTTTTATAAATATCAGGGCTTTATGTGTACCAGGTTCTCAAGGCGTCCAGGTGTAGCAAGGTATAAAACACTTGGGTTTTACTAAATGTAAGTTGCAAGTATAAGGATTAGTTCTGTTTTGTACTACACATTGTTTAATATGTTCTAAACTGTTTTTAAATAGTTAATAACTGGAGTGGACACAAAGGATCTTTTTACCTGGGCTTGATTAGATAGCATTCATCCGCTGAAGCTGTTAGGGGTACAAACTTAAAACACGTTTCCTTTGGAAAAAGCGGTTCTGCAGATGCGGGTGTCAGGAGGTGACAGCCAGCACTCCTCGCCTCGCTTAATGATTTTAGCCGGTTCTCCTCAGGCTGCCGTGCATTATAATAACGGGTTTGGCTCTCGTCCTTACTTGTGCGCGGTGGCAGCGTACCCTGTCAAATGCACGGTCTGTGGGAGAGGCGATCGCTTGTTATTTTATCGCCTCCTTCGCGGACCTGCTGTTTGCCAAAGATGGAGGCCAGGTGCCCACCCGTACGGTTTGCACGGCGACTTCCCGGCGGGGAGCTCGTGCAGGGCGTCCAGCCGACGCGGTTTGTGCGGAGGGAGTTATTTGGGGAAGAGGGTGGATTTTCATGGTGACGGAAGGAGGCAAAGGAGGAATGTTTGCTAACAACCCCTGACGAGATCTGAAGTTCTTCACTGGCACCGTTTCTGCCGAGGTGCATTTTAGCTGGTTTGTGAAGGGCTGCAGAATTAAAATGCTGCGAGGTGTGACTTACCTACCTGGTAAGGGATGCGTGTGCTCAGAGCTGCCTTCGCAGCAGATTTTAGTCAGGGGGTCAGCTGCGTGCCGTTCCTCTCAAACAGCCATAACGTACTCACTGTGGCCTGAACGCCCAGCACTTTGCAGAGGGAGCGATGCTCTGGGGGAAGGCGGAGGCAGCAGAAGTGGCCTTCAGCACCGTGGCCTCACGGTGTTTTCCATATTGCAGAGGCTACGGCACATGGGAACGTTCAAGACCCAAAATGTGCCGCGGTTCCTCCCGCCGTTGCCCCACAAAGGAGATCTCCAGGAGCGGCACGCTCTGGAGGCTTTGCATACATTAGCAGTTCGCGTTCCCTCGCCCTCAGTCAGCGAGGACGCTGCTCCCTCTTTGCCACCCCCGTGGGCCTCCAACATGCCCGACTAGCAGAGCACCGTGGGGTGCAGGGGATCGAGGCACCAGACGTTAGTTATTCCTGATATGTTTGATTGCTTTTTTGTAAGGTCAAACGCACAGGCATTATTGGGGACAAAAAAACCGTCGCTTTGTGTTGCCCACAGCTAGAGGCTTAGCGCTGTGCGACTGGTACAGCTGTGAACTTCAGAAATGTTATTCTAAACGGGTTTTTTTACAGAATAATTCAAATAGATATGTCCTTAGCAATAGAGCACTGAAATGTAGAATGCATATCGTGAGTGACTCTGCAGGAATAAATATAAGCAAGACAAATCGTAGAGCTCCGTCAGAAAAACCCCAGCAGTGCTCAGCACATGATCCTTAATGTGCTTTGGTCAATATCTTTCTCTGTATCAATGGAAGCTCATTAAAAGAAGATATTGCAGACTAACTGAGCCATGCCGTATTAGTTCTTGCCAAAGCTTGACATTTTTAATACATTAATAATATGTCTGTAATGTAATGGAAAACTATTAATCAGAACTGGTTATATGCCAGAAATTTAAGCTATAATTGGCTGCTTCTTGTCAGGAATGTCTGTCGTACACTGCTACAGCTGCCTAATGCTCCGATGTCTTGCACTCCTCTGCACTTTTTCCTTGTCAGTGCACTAAATTCGATCAATGTTATAGTCTATAATTCTGTGTAACGACCATCATTATGACTCTGGCTTACTTTAATGAGAATTCGTTATATGGGAAGTATTTTAGCACTATGTGTTAAGGTAGTGGCATGCTTCACATTATTTTAGTCCTATCCAGTCCTCTTTATTAGTGGATCTGAGCCTCAGCAGTCATAAAAGGTTACAGGTAACTGAAAGGCTAGCAAGGAAAATATTAAAGAAATCAAATCTATTTTTGCCTGAACATACAGGCTCATAGTCTAAGGATAATTAAACTAACTTCTTATTTCTACACAGAAACATGATATTCACCTACTGTTTATTGCAGCTATGACCAAGCCTTCTCTAATACAGAGTATCTTTTGATTTGTCACAAATTTAAAATATTTTGGGTCCTTTTTTAGCAGAGCAGTTGTTTTCCTTTTGTATAATACCTGTTTTAAGGCACAGGATTTGGGGGGGATTTTTTTCCCCTACAAAATAGTAAATTGCATTGGAAAGTACTAGAGGGAAGGAGCATGAGGTGTCTTTAGAATGACATGGAAAGTGTTCTCTGAATTACTGAATTCCAAGATAATAAGTAAACAAAAAAGAACGTAAGGTGGCTAGAAAGCAGTGGTGCTACACAGTGTGCTGCTTAAAAAGATTTTATTTTAATTTGGTCTCAGATATTTCTGCTTTTGTGTCAAATTCAGATTTGAAGCTTAAATATATTTGAACTAATTGAGAATTGTCATTGCATGAGAATTCAGATATTCTCTGCATATTCTGATAAAATATATGAGAGTTGTATGGTAACACTTGATAAAATGAATATAATGGAAAATTGCATTTACGTCCATACGGCAATTATTGTAAATTACTTTGCTATGGAAACACAATTCAACCATCTGTTGGCATTTCATAGTGTCTGTAGTTTAGCTCAGTTTAAGATGAAGCATTATTTAAATATAGGGAGGCCATTTGCGAATAGCTTTGAAGATAAGTTTTGAAAAGGCATATTACCAAAGTGACGTGCTAAGGAGCTCACCGGGTCACATACCACTTCCCGTGGTTTTCGGGTATGGGAGGGTTCATGACACTGGGCATAATTTTAGACGGGGAACAAGCAAAGCGGGCTGCAAAAAGTGGTGACTTACGGCTGTTTCGTAACACATCTGACGGGTTTGTTAGATTTTAGCATCCAGAGAGACAGAGTGCAGAGGTGCTGCAGCGGCTGGCTGAAATCCTTCTCCTGCAGAGCACCCGGGCTCCCCGTCCTTGGCTGGCACTGCTGACACCAGGCGCAGGCTGCGAGGAAGGAGTTGGAGTTCCTAGCCCTGGTTTTCTCCGTCCGCATTTAGGGAACTTACTCCATCTTTGCAGTTTCCCTCGTACATAATTTCTACTTTTACCTGTGTTTTTTAGCAAATGTATATTTTAAGTCTTTGTAATAACATCCTAGGATTTTGTACCTGTAAAAATATGATTGTGGTAATACAAACTGAGAGAATTTCTAGTTGCTTTCTGAAAAGAGAAAAGGGGCTATATCTGCTGTGAAATAAACAGTGTGTACGCAGGTACCCCCACCCCCAAACTTAGGAAAATAAGATTGCTATAACAGAGGGGGAAAGCATTCTTACAGTAAGCTACAAATGAACCGTTACCTTTATCAGTAGTTTATCATCAGTGTGATCAGTAAATCACAGTTCAAAGAAAAAAAGAAGGGAGCAAAGCTCTTCCAATGCTAATGAGAAATTTCAAGGAAACGGAAGCATGCTTGCAATATCTTTGTTACTCTTCAAAAAAACCCAAACAACCAACAGAAAAAAAGCCAACCAAACAAAGAAATGTGTAAGGCTTTTGGAGCTCTCTGAGGTCCTCTTGGCAAGAGACTATCAGCACCTGGTAGCCCTGATACCCATCTCTGTGTCACTCCAATAAATAGCCTTCCTGCCGCTGCCCCGTGGCGCTGGGCTGCCTGCTCCCCTGCCTGCCTGCCTGCCCAATCTGGGCTATGCTTGGGTTCAGTAGTTTGCTCTCCGGTTTTGCTAGGGTGAAAATACAGTTTTGGAAGCAGAAACCCGTAACTCACCTGGAATGTCATAAATCTGTCTTTGTTAGAGAAGAGTTAAATCCTTCATGTCAAAATACTTTTCACTGTGAATGATTTTGGTAGCTTGTTCATTCTAGCACAGCACCCATGGTAAAGGTTATCCATATTATACCAATTTGCTTTATATTGCATCAAACCTCCAAAATGTCAACATATCATATATTTTTGTAATGCATTGATTCTTGGACAATAACCCTAACTCTTATTGTTTCTAAAAGGGTGCTGGTGCCAGAAGAAAAGAATGATTGATGGGAAACAGACACGAGCCTGTAGACACTCATCCTTTTGCTTCGGATACCGATTTATCAGTGCGTCTGGGCATCCCCTGTGAGCCCTGAACACAGAGGATCACTCAGGGTTATCGACAGTGTAGCTGAAGACCTGCAACTTCACAAATTATTATCTGCTATTGGACATCTTTTACAAGAAGCCCAGACAGATACGTTATAAGACAAAGGACAAGTGCTGCGTTGCTGTGAAAGGCTGTCACCTGGGTCTCAGTGGCTTCTACCAAAGTCTTCAATTTAGTGAAACAAACACCCTATCCTAATGCTTCACATTTGAGTTGGAACTTATTTTATAAAATATTTACATGTATATGTATGTATATGTATAATCTATAGACTGCACATACGCCAGTACTGCGCATCCTTACGAAGGTGACATAAAAGGATTTAGAAATGTATTTGTCAAGATTCCTGTCACTTCACGCCCTCTGGGTTACCGTATCCTCTGTGATGCAGCATTACCCTTCCGTGTGGGGACACTATGATGTGTGTAAGACTCAGATTTACACAGAAGAAGGAAAAGTATGGGATTACATGGCCTGCCAGCCAGAAGCCAGAGACATGATCAAATACGTAAAAGTGACTCTGGATCCCCCAGACATAACGTGTGGAGATCCTCCTGAGACTTTCTGTGCAATGGTAAGGCAAGCTTTTCGTTTTGCATAATTAGTGGGTATATATTTGTGATAGATGGCTTCAAAATGGAAGCCCTAGAGCACATGTGTAATTATCCAAGAAAATCTGCATCATATTCTGAATGCGAAAGGTTCTGCTGAACAAAATGCCGAGCAGTACATTAAGCTGGGCAATGAGATGTTCTACTTATGGGGACCTAACTTGACTTTGTCTGAATTCGGTGAACCTCTCAGTCAACTTTTAATGACTGAAAAGATAGCAGTGTAAAACTCCTAGCATGCTAACCCGTAACTGGGGTACGTTTGCCTGGATCGCAAAAGACTTGAGTGAATTGGTTCCAATACAATAATCTGAAAGCATCATAGTGTGGTATAATTCAGCATCATTTCCAAACATGAGACTGCTGTTAGAAACTCAAACTACAGAAGCTCAAATGGTGGTGGGAGCTGGGCTGGTGGAGTTTTTCTAGCAAGCCCACGCAGCCGTGGGCAGCACTGCTGGAGCCTTGCTGCCACATGCAGCGGGCGCGTACCAGCAGGTCCATACCGGCGTGTATGGACTGTGCAGCAAGAAACACCTTCAGGTGGGTGCCAGCTCTGCCAGCTACTGACAGCTTTCTTCTTTAACCAAAGCTGTAGGCATTCAAGCCAACTAAAAGAGACCAAAGTCAAGCTCCTTAATTTAGATGTTCCTAAAATTAGAGACTAGTTTTGGAAATGTTGGGCTTAGTAAATAGTTGTACAGGTATGAGAAACCAGGCAGACACTATATATATATCAACCTTCTACAGCTGTGCTGCTCCCAACTGTTTGATAGATTGTGCTGTAAGAGGTCATTCGAGTTAAAGGCAATCTTCAATTTGTAGGTAACTTGTTTCTCCTCACGATCACAGAGAATTCATGATAGATGTACTTACATCTATTAATAAAGCACTGGAAACGTACGTCACATTACCTACGTAATTTAATTTGAAAAACCTTTGAGTTCTGGTAAGTGAGGTTATCATAACTGAGAAAAGTCTACAAGATATTTATTTGCCTGTGTACGAATCATCATTGCTGTGTGACAGCATCCCTGCAGGAAGGAAATTTGCTTTTAAATGCCTTATGGTATCATTTTCAACCACTACTGTTCTGTAAGGAGTTCGGGTCCAACCACACGTACATTTAGGGCATTATGTGCATGCATGCAGCTGCTTCCCACGTACATTATGGTAATAGCCACGTGATAAATTGCGGAGCTACGTGCATAAATTACATTCACTGTGAACCTTTGACTGCATCACTTGCTCTCTGCCCACTAATCCATCTCTGCTGACATGGCTTTGACACTCTAAACCTCCAAGCAGCTTCAAGCAGCCACTGTTTGAAAACAAATAAAAGCAACATGCCTGGTGTAATACGGTCTTTTTCTTTTTTCTTTATCTTGAAACTTGTTTTCTCCCTCAGAATAGTAATAGCTAGGTTTAGCCTAGCTAAACTGAGGTTTAGCCCTCAATCGGTGACATTTAGTAACTCATCATCTAGTGAATAAGAAAAGTTGTTCTTTTAATGCAAAAGAAACTGCCCAGCAAACTTGTTTCTTCCTTTTAACACAGACAAACATTGTAGCAGTTCCTGTCTTAAGTAATTTTTTAAGTTTCTGAATGCCTTGGTTATCAGTCCACTCTAGTTAGAATAATCATTTTAAACAAACAAAAGACATTTTGATTAAATTTAAGTTTTAAAAATGGTGCCAGAACTCCCCCTGAAAACGTTTGACCTAGCAAGGTCCTCGATGCTGCGATGCGGGATGAGAGTTGGCTTGGGAATGACCTGAGGTTACAGCTGTAGCTCACCTGCTGCTTAAGCCCTTGAGATGCAGAAGGCCACCAGAATCTTGACATGAGAAGCAGAGAAAGAGGAAGGACTGGGGAGAGAGTGTGCACAATGAGGGTGTGTATTCAGTGGTGTGAGTGTAGAGTGACTCCTACGTGATAAACTGTTGTATTTGCTTTCGGTATAGATGTATATTGTACATATACACTATACTCAGACAGGCATTGGTAATGTCTTGAGTTGCTTGAAACATGAGGAAAATGGCAGAAATATTTGACGTTCCTGAGGTACTGCACAGCAGCAGAGCACTCTCATCCCTGAAAATGCTTCATGTCTATTTGTACTATAGCTACATGTAGAAATTACGCATTTCCTTCAACATGAGGTTTTATGTATTTGTAGGGCTGAGTCTTTGGCATTTCCCAATGAGGAAATCTTTTATTTTTGTGTTCACTTTGAGTTTTAGAAAAGGAGTTGAGAAGCTAGCACTGACATACTTGGAGAAGGTGGGCAGTGGCAAAAAGTGCATTCCTGTTAGGCATGTTCTTGCCCTAAAAATCCCAAGTCTGAACTGACAAGAGATCCAAAGGTTTCTTTTCAGCATGGTGAACTGCCGAACTGACCTACACAAATGCTCGGGTTTATTGTTGTGAGGATCCAATACTTGGGTGCTAAACCTGCGTGCCAGTGTTTTGTTATTGACATCACGTTAACGCTGCCTTGGAGGAGATCAGGGTCCTTTCAGATATCGTAACAATAAGCAAGGGTACCAAACAGCTGAGCTTGCTTCTGCAGGAAGAGGAGGGGGATGTTGAAGCAGCCTCCTGTTTTGTTTCCATATCAGTTCTCTGACCAGGCTTAGTAATTTCCTGTTCACCACAGACTATACCGACTGAGGTACTAGCTGCTGAGTGTGTGTCAGCTATCAGTGTAGTAGAATCGTAGAATCATAGAATGGTTTGGGTTGGAAGGGACCTCAAAGATCATCTAGTTCCAACCCCCCTGCTGCGGACAGGGACACCCTCCACTAGACCACATTGCCCAACCCGGGCCTTGAACACTTCCAGGGATGGGCCCTCCACAACCTCTCTGGGCAACCTGTGCCAGTGCCTCACCACTCTTAACAGTAAAGAATTTCTTTCTAACATCTAATCTAAATCGACCCTCCTTCAGCTTGAACCCATTCCCCCTTGTCCTGTCACTACACTCCCTGATAAACAGTCCCTCTCCATCTTTCCTGTAGGCCCCCTTCAGAAACTGGTAAGCCACAATTAGATCTCCCTGGAGCCTTCTTTTCTCCAGGCTGAACAACCCCAACTCTCTCAGCCTGTCCTCGTAGGAGAGGTGCTCCAGCCCTCTGATCAGCTTCGTGGCCTCCTCTGGACTCACTCCAACAGCTCCATGTCTCTCCTGTACTGGGGCCCCCAGAGCTGGATGCAGTACTCCAGGTGGGGTGTCACAAGAGTGGAGTAGAGGGGCAGGATCACCTCCCTCGACCTGCTGGTCACGCTTCTTTTGATGCAGCCCAGGACACGGCTGGCTTTCTGGGCTGCAAGGGCACGCTGCTGGCTCATGTCGAGCTTCTCATCAATCGATACCCCCAAGTCCTTCTCCTTGGGGCTGCTTTCAATCCCTTCCTCGCCCAGCCTCTAGTCGTGCTTGGGATTGCGCCGACCCACATGCAGGACCTTGCACTTGGCCTTGTTAAACTTCATGCGGTTCGCACAGGCACACCGCTCCAGCCTGTCAAGGTCCCTCTGGATGGCATCCCTTCCCTCCAGCGTGTCAACCACACTACACAGCTTGGTGTCATTGGCAAACTTGCTGAGGGTGCACTCGATCCCACTGTCCACGTCGCCGACAAAGATGTTGAACAGTGCCGGTCCCAGTACCGACCCCTGAGGAATGCCACTCGTCACCGTTCTCCACTTGGATATTGAGCCGTTGATCACAACTCTTTGAGTGCGACCATCCAGCCAATTCCTTATCCACCACATGGTCCATCCATTGAACCCATGTCTCTCCAGTTTAGACACAAGGATGTCATGCAGGACAGTGTCAAATGCCTTGCACAAGTCCAGGTAGATGACGTCAGTTGCCCTTCCCTTATCCACAGACACTGTAACTCCATCATAGAAGGTCACCAAGTTTGTCAGGCACGATTTGCCCCTAGTAAAGCCATGTTGGCTGGCACAGGTTATATCCCTGAAACACAGCCAGACCGAGAGGTTCACCCAAGTCCTGCTGGGAGACTGTGGTAAAACCTAAGGCAGTCTGAGAGGGAGATGAGAATACTCTGCAGTAACACACAGTGCAATCCTGCATTGCAATGCACGCAAGCGTGCGATACAGAGGACATGGGCAGTTAGTGGTAAAATTTGCCTCTTACTTATTGCTGCATATTCCCTGTGGAATTAAATGTTCTTATGAGTCCATTATGAACTTTTACTCAGTGAGCTTCTTTAGTCAACAGACCAAATAACGAGGTTTTGCTCATGCAAATTTGTTGCAAAACGCAGCACTCCTCTAGTTGGTAACTAAACCCAGCACGTGGCAGCTCACCACTTGTGCCTTTGGGTCGTCCCTCCAGGACGGCATCCGCAGGTATTACAGGGAACATGTAGCAGGAAAACTATCCTACAATTGCTTTTGTGCAATCTATTCTGAGAATAACATTATAGTTTCTGGTGACATTCAGTATTGACAACTTGTGAGATTATTCTGAAACCTCAAACCCCTGGAGTCCTATGATTATGAGAGATTCTCAGCTTTCATTTAAAACATCATCTTTATTTTCCTAGTCCTTCTGGTTGCAGAGAAAAGTTTGAAAATGAAACTGAGAAGCTCAAAAAGCAGAAGCCAAGTAAATAGCCCTTCAAATTATTATTTGTTTCAAATCTTATAATCTTTAAAGTTGCTCGGGATTTTTAGAGCTTAGGAAAAGATTTTGCTCAAGAAGAGAGATGCATGAAAGAAGCATCCAAACAAATGAGTGGCTTAGAGCAGTGAATGCTCACGGTTTCTGGCCGAGGAATTGCTTGTGTCCGTAAGGAGGACGTGACAGCATCCTTCCCCGACAGGTAGTACTCCTCCTGCCTGCAGGATAACCAGCCCCCCGCAGAGGGCTTCACTGGTCACCTCTGGCTTCCCTGCACGTTTTAAAGCAATCTCTAGCTGCTTAGAGCG